TGTTCTTCGCCACAATGAAAGTCTTTTTGGTATTCGGCGGACGGGCGAACTTACGCTGCTTGTCAGACCTCGGCGGGACATCGGCACTTCGCTTTGCTCCAACCGTGCACTAAACGTGGTAATCACTGGGTTTTACCAAACGACTTCGTAGAGTTCTTCGTACTGAAGCTTTTGCCTTGTTTTGCAACTCTGGCATTCATCTGCCTCGCAGATTCGTCTGCCCTGTGCAGTTCCAGAGCAAAATCATTCACCAAAGCAAATAATTTTCTCACAGATGCCTTTGCTTCACTGCTGCGAAATTCCAGCTCATTTTTAACCTTCTTTTTCAAAGGCCCAGGCAGGAACTACGTCAACACCTTACACTTGCGTTTGACTCCTTCTTCACCCAAGAAGAGGTCTTTCACACCGTTGCGTTTGATAATATCATTCGCAAGATGAAAATACGCAGTAACACGACCTTCAATATCCGAGCGTGACATGTTAAACTTCAGTTCTGCACTAAAGAGCGCATCCATGTCAGGCAACTCTCTGTTCGAAACTCGCGGTTATCTCGGTAATCTTGGTCATGAGGAATTCGTCCGTCAAATTATTCAGGTCCACGTCCCAACGTGTCTCGCACATAGTCTCCAATAGGTTCTCATCAAACGAATTGAGCACTGAGTGCAGAACAGTCTTCACGTCCTCGTTACCGGCCTTACATCTCGCCTCCGTGACGGCTACGTACTCCTTCCGGAACTTAAGCCAATCCAACAGGGCTTCACGCGACACATCGGTGATCAACGGCGCGTTCGCGATAGCAAAAATTGGCTGCGGAGCTCTTGGTACAGATGGCTGTACCACCACCGGAACGCTGACACTTGCATCGTCTTCGATTTGCACCTTGGCGGCGCTCTCCTGGTTAGCTTGCTGACTCGACGTCAGTGATTCTTGTTTCCGTTCAAAGTTACTACCTTCGCAACTAAAGATATCTTTGTAGTGGGTATCGAAACTCGAACACACACGAGGGAAGCTGGCGCTTCCTTATAGCCTTGATCTATTGCTTGTTTTGAGGTAAAACTCAAACTGACTGACTAAACTTATCACTACGGCTTATCGGTACGTGATGTCACGTCCCCGACTATACCTTACAGTTCTCGACTATACCTTACTACTTCCTATGCCAGCTTGGCCGCACGTTCTGTGCGGCACAGTGCAGTGGGCAAGGCTTGGTCACCAGTGCACCAATCACTACAGTAGGCTTGCTCTCACTCCTCATGAATCAACTGGCCTTTGTCATAATGCGTCCGTGAATTAACGGTCCAGGAAAGAAGCGCAAGAAGTTCCAGCGCATCGCCGTAGACTTTTGCACAACCGGGATGTAATCAACTACATCGAGAGTGACCAGACACTCGACGACGCAATCGCATATTTCTACGGAGAGCTCTCTGATATCGAAATCAGAGTGAATAAGAACCAAATAAACATGTTGGTGCAAGCAATAAAAGCAGTTCGTGATTCTTGTGTAAGCGAGCGAGGGCTTCACAAGAATCTTAGAAAGCTAGGTGATGCAACTGCTCTACCCCGTATATTGTATTATGGGTGAACTCCCTGCGTAAGGATGGCGTGCCCGTGTCCAAATTGATGTTCTACCTTGAGTCAATAGAGATGACGGCGGCGTGCAGCTTGGCAGAGAAGCTTTCTGCGTCGCTTACCTGGCTTAAGCAGCTCCTTCGTCGGTACCGTCTTTTTCTTCGTTCGCGCACTAGACAAGGCCATACTACTCCCGATGACGCCCAGACAGCTGAGCTGCAAGCTTGCTAGTGGTGATATATCGACGGACGATGCCGGGGATGACATAGGTAGTGAAAGCGCATAAAACAATGCTTAACATGTACTAAACAGTAATTTGCAGCCACCTGTTGACTCGTAGAATTCGTAAAGATTGCTTGAGTGGTGCCACCTAGGACTACGACAATACGGTATTTTAAAATAAAAACACTCGTAGCTTAACAAAGGATACTGTAGAGCAGACATGTTAAGCAATAGTGACTTTCTATAGTTACGTACCTCAAAACAGTCCTCTTTAGTACAGACAACGACGGTGAAGTCAGCCCGGTGTCTGAACTTCATAAAAAATAGAAGTATTACGCGCGACAGGAATAACCGTCCATAAATTTGATTGATTGAAAGTGGTAATTTCAGCTCAAAGTCTGAGCACAAACTACAATAGAAAGTACAAAAACGATGCAAGAATCTACAGATCCTGATTTGAATGAAGATAAACACCCGAATACGGGACACAAATTGGTTGAAACTGGTTTATTTAGTGGAGAAACCATGTTCGTGTATGGCGGATTTCACCGTCGTTGTCAGTAATTTGTATTCCATATTACGAGGGAAAGGTGAGAGGTAACCTCGGTGATTCCTATCGAAGGGTATTCTAAGGGCAGGGGTTACTACCGAAGGTTTACCTTTACACGAACTAACCGATCCGTCCTTTTAGTGTCCGGCTACTAATTTATGGTGGAAACGATAAACATTGTATATGGAGAGGGAACTTCATTATTTATGTTGCCTTTAATTGAAAAATGGCAAATATATCCGTGAGCTGGGAGCTAGAGGAAGGATAGCAGCGCATTTGTTATTGCGTCGTTTTAATGGGGGGGGTTATTTTTTAAAGACGAAATTAAAACCCCATGGGGTAGTATTCGGGGGAGGGCTTTTAAACTGGCGCACCCGTTATTTGTCATATCGTTTCATACTGTGTTCAAATACACTTGTTATGTACTTGAAGTATAGTGTTTGTTTGTTTTTAGCTCGATCAAGGTTTGGGATAATGTGACCTATAATAATGTCCTTTGGGTATCCGTAGGTGGGGGCTTGCAGTAATTTTAGGTTGTCCGTCGAGTAGCCGCTGTTCTCACGGCGGTAGCGATATTTTTTCAGCTACAAAACGCAACTTGGCAAGAAGCCAATGCAAATTAAATTTGGCTCTACGAATAGCTCTCTTGCCTCGGTGGCTCGACGCGCGGTCGAAGTTGAGCGATATTGCTGAGCTCATCAACTTTAGTGTTTATCTCCTCCGCAATAACTTCTTTACCACTCTGTTCCATCTCAAATCTGACACTTCTCCTTGCTGACATATTTATTAAACTAATGGTGTGATTTAGCTAAACGAGCCCACTACGGAAAGCCCTGCCTTAGCTCTATAAAGCAGTATTTTTTTGGTAGATCATAGTCAAACAGCAACGAAGTACAGAGCAAAAGAGCGTCATTCGTTTTGACGGGGTGGACGTCTGGTTTCGGTGTGGGCTTCCCAGTGTTGGAAAATTGCGGAGGTTTTCAGAAGAGATCGATTTTGCTACGGTCTTACAAGATGTGAAAATAGTTCTTCAAAAGCTGCTGTCTGTGCCGCGTTTGCCTGAAAAACGCTTTTGACCAATTACATCTATGTATTTACAATCTGACAAATTTTAGATCTCGCAAAGGTGAAAATAAATAAAACAAGGTGTGTAGAAAAGAGTTCATCATAAAATAAAAGATACATGTACTAATTTTGAGTTGGCATTTTATTAAGTGTCTCCTGGTGTCACGTGGTTGACCGTCGATTTGTGTTCTTGGTGGTAAATCCACAACTGAGCTCGAATTAGATGCTTACAGCTTTGCTACTCGCTCTGCTAACTAGTCCTGCTGTCCTAGGCGCTCGTAGTGCTAGCTGTCTAATCCTACTTCAGCGTCAAGCATATGTAGTTGCCTTCTTTACTGGAAGGCTGGTCAACATGGCGCACCTGCTGGTCCCAGGGAGCAGCACGTCATCTTCTGAGTAGCACGTGCGCTCTGTCACTGTGCTGCAGGTGCGATGGAGAGCATCTTACTGCGGCTGCTCACACCTGGCCCTTTTTGCCAAAGGGTCGCAATTGGAAGCACTCCGTTGCGAATGTGGTGCTTCGAAACTCGGGGGAGTTTGTATGTATCACACGCAATGACAGATTCTGGTATTTTTTGTGCTGTCAAAAAGCACTTATCTATAGTCCTACTAGAAAGATCACAGTAAGTTTTTTCAGCTTCCGCAATTAAAGCATCGATCTTGTACGTTGGTGTGCGGTATTGAGCCGACTGTAGCAAGTTAAACAGACCCAATTCGAGTACGTTCATATCGGGCGTTGATAGCGATGTTGACAACATCAACATTTGTTGTGCTGCCGTTAGAGCGATCAGACGGCAGCACATCATGCTTATCTGCACAGCTGATACGTATTATGTAGCTGGTAGCCACAAATTAAAAAATAGCAAATCTCTATTCTTAGCCTAATAATAGCCAATGATATCATTTATTTTTGTGCATCGTTAGATTTGAGATGGAGCAGACGGATCGGATTTAGCGAAATCGGTCCTAACTACACTAAACTCTGTCTATAATATCTCAATCGGGCCCCGAGATAGCCCGAAATCCTCAATGCGATAGTGGATCTCACGGCCAACTGCCACTGGATTTTTCTACCTGCAAATTCTAATATAAGCATTTTTGATTGTGATTGGGTAGAAAAACATACCACCTGCATATTTTGCAGATCCACAAATGTGTTCCGTAAAAGCGCCTGTGGAAATTGTTTCATGCTGTGTTCAATAACTATTTGACTATTCTGGGGACTGCACCCCCAACCTCCCCCTATTCAAAAAAATGTACTGGATAGTGCAAAAAGTCCGATCGCTGGAGAGCACAGTCGTGACGACAGGTACAGTAATGTGCCAGTATCTGCCCCATCAAATCGGAAAATTTACGGAACGCCGGTTGCGGAGCGCCGGTGCAGAAACGAAACTCGATTTATAATACAATTTGACTCAGAAGAACCGCTTGAAATAGATCTTATAATCATGTACGGTATCGATAACAAGAAACCATATGCGATCGAACGACAGTAGATTGCGGCAAACACAAGACTAATCACTGAGTGGAAAGCGACTCGATGTCTCCCATTTCTCATTTCCCCCTCGGCCTAAAAAGTCTTTCTTAACCTGCAATGCGTCTAAGCTCCACATTTCTTGTCGCAGCAGCTGCGTTGCTCGTGCTCAGCGATGTAGTATCAGCTGCAACTGTGACCAAGGTATCGGCCATGAACGTGCCGAATGTGGCGAAGCCGGTGGAAGTTGCTCCTGTGAAAGACGCAAGGCTCCTGCGAAGCGAAAGCCGGAAACAAACCGATGTGGAAGACTTTGAAGACGAAGAGCGGAAGATTCAGACAAGCTTAATCGACGATGCGTTTAAGGGGCTCGGAAGAACCGACGACGCTGCAAAAAAACTACTCGCAAACGATGATGCAATGGCGAAGAAGCTGGCCGCTCTTAACAAACAACAAGGCGAAGCTGACAATGCCAAGTTTCTCGCTAACTTGTGGATGAGACAAAATATGAAACCGGAGGATCTACGATTGCTCACGAAAACCCCGGTCAACAAGAAGGCCTACCAGGAGTTCCTTGTCCAGTATATGAAAAAGCATCATTCGCTGAAACCTGGCCCCCAAGCAAACCGAAAGATTACCAGGGAGGGCGCTCAAATCCTGCGCAAAATTGAGAACGCGGACGACGATGTCAAATTCCTCGTGAACCTCTGGATTAAGCAAAAGAAAACCCCTGAGGACCTACGACATATCACCAAGAACGAGGTTTCAAAGCAAGCGTACAACTTGTTCAACGCGCAATATCTGACCAAGCGCCACTCGCTAAACCCCTCCGGATAAATATCTTACGGCAGTCTGCTCGTTAACTGTACTGCAATACGTGTACAGCTGTTTGGAAGTATTGTTGAGTTCGGTGCGACTTTTTTCTTTTTGGTCTCGGTTCCTGTCGGGGCACCACTTGCGGATTGGCCTTATGCGACGCTAGCTATCAATACGTTAAGAAGCATGTTGATAACTCGTAATGAAGGTGCACGCACTTCCTATTTTGCGTTCCAGAAGTCCATTCCACTAATAATTTCAGCTCTCTGGATTTTAATCCTGGGACGGCACTCGACCTAAGGAAAAACTTTAACTTTTTATGTAATACATTAGTAAAAACTCACGCCTGAAGAACACAGTTTCTTCAGTTTTTATAATTTGGTAACCTGTTATCTCCTGTTTCATTTCTTATACATGTTTCACAGAAAAAAACGTGGGGGTTCGAACAAATCGTGCGTACCCAGATGTAAATAAATGCACCACTTCGTACCAAAAATAGCCTCTTATAACCAATATCCGTTGGCCATCTAAGAAAAACAGAAGAATGTTGCCTGTGGCGGCCACGGGTAACATCAAAACCTATTAGCCCATAAATGTTGCTTGGAGAAAACTGGGTGAAACAAATCTTTCTAATGAAGGAAAAAAAACCAATGGGTGAATTTCAATAAATCTCTTCCAGTTGTGGCAACAATTGGGGAGACATCTCTCCTTGCTACTGTTAAGCTTCAATCACAGTCAGCCCGGTACCAACGACGCATTCATGATTCTTCTACACTTTGTATCATGGTGGGTATTGCTTCTACGAATGTGCGCCGTACAACGTCGTCATGAAAAACACCTTTTCTTGCCCAAAGCATTCTCCTAAAGGGCACACTATAGAATTTACATCCAGCAACTGCGCCATCTTGACACTCGTCTTTATTATCTCCATTATCTTTGTTAGCTTTTGGTGGAAATCCTTGCACCGTGGCCCTCGCAGTCCAGTAACGGCAGCTCATAAACCCCTTACAGCTAGTGTAGTGGGTTAAGAGGCTGGATAGCCTCATACAGCTCGTGCAGTGGGCGGCAAGGCAATCTCCAGATCGGCAGTGGCAGGGTTGCCACTGCCAACCTTCGAGTGAATGGCTGGTTGAGAGGCTTGCTGGCCCGAGCTGGCAGATAGCGTAGTAGAATAGAGAGTAACAGTTTGTGTTTTGCTTAATACACCAGGCAAAGACGTGAAGGGAGTGCCAGCTCCCCCATTTTGGTGTTCATTTGCGAGACCCACCACAAAGTTAACTTTAGTAACCGGTTAAGCATGGAAAGCGAAGCTAAAGGCAAAGCTGGATCGACAGCAGTGTCGTTTTTCGTTCCGCCCGTGGCACCGATGATCGAGAGCACCTCGCACGCTGCGCTAGTGGAATGGAAACGACGACGCAAGGAGTACGAGCAGGAAGTGGCCATCCGTTGCTGCCACGACCCAGAACAAATCTCTGCCATGACGACAGACCTGCAGCTCGTTCGAGCTGAGCTTGCTGGAGGTTCTGTGTGACCTGGAGTGGGGAATTGACAAGGAAGACCTGACCAATGAACTACTTCTGGGCAAGATCGACGCGATCCTCGCTACAGTAAAGAACAACACAGTGCCCAACGTTGCGGCTGAGTTCAAGGCTGTTGTACGGATGAACTTGCAGGAGACAGACGTGCGCGAGCGAGTAGTGCAATACTTTCGGTGTAGTCGCCAGGTGATTGAAGAACATGGCTGGTGCAAATTCTTTATTGACCAAGAAGGTCTGAAGTTGAAGTGCAAATTGCTAGTCGCGTCTCTTGAACCCCAGGCACTGCAGGAAGAGATAGAGTCCATTCTGGCGTATCAGAATCGGGCTGCGCGTAGTGACGAAAAGGTACTTTTCAAGATCATTTTGGAGAAAGCTCTTGAGCCCGAAAGAGACTTTCAGCGCCGTAAGCGGTAACTCGAACCGGGGAAAAACTGGACAGCTCACGGGAATCGAGTCGCCCAAAGAAAAATTTAGAACGAAGGACAGTGACGAACCGAAGCCTGTTCGGCAACAACCACAGGATACGGTGAGTAGAAAGCAAGGTCGGAACGTCCAACAGAGACCTTCAAAGACAGGGGCTGCAAATCCGATCGGTGGTTGCCTCAAGTGTAAGGGGGATCATTGGCTAGTGAAGTGCCCAGTTGCGACTCACGACGAGAAGGCCGATCTATTGCGGCAGCAGCATGAGCGGCGCAACCGTGAGAAGGCTGACCGCAAGAAGGTCGCTCACGACTGAAGTGTTAAGCGCATTAAAGAGTGCCTGCCTGGGCCTGTAAAGCTAGTTGAGCTAAACAGAGTGCACTTGATGCCCTTTTGCGCTGATTCAGGGGCAGATACAAGCGTCATCAGCAGAATAAAGCTTAGAGAGTTGATGACAAAGGATCCAGCGGTGAAGCTGGAGAAATTGAAAGAGACAATTGTAGTGAGGACAGCTGGAGGACACATTATCCGAGCCCACGATAGTGTGGATGTGAATTTGCTGATAAATACAGCTGCAGGGCCGGTGTGCCTTACAAAACCAGTGAAATGTTTGGTAATCGACGAAGTTGAAGAGGAGTTTATCCTTGGGAAGGATGTTCTGACTACGCTCGGAATGGACGTGGACCGTCAGCTTGAACAGCTTGTGGGAAGTGATATCACTGGCGATGAAGATTTTGTAAATTGCAACGACGATTTTGAAATCGGTGTGGAATGTGACAGTGAGGTGAGAGTTGCAGTTGATGAACTAGTGGATAAGGCTATTGATAGCGGGTTTCCACGCGAGCGAAGATATGATTTGTTGAAGATAACAGTTATGTTTGACATTTGGAGACTGAAACTCGGTGGTGACCCTCCGGCAAAGGTTCCACCACTGTTAGTAAAGCTAAGGGATGGTGCCAAACCGCAGAAGTGCAAGGCGAGGCAGTATCCGCCGCACTTAAGAGAATTTTTGAGAGACTTTAATACGGAACTAGAGCGTATGGGGTGGGTTTATGAAAATCCACATAGTCGATGGGCCAGTCCAGCACTACCAGTGAGGAAGCCCGGCTCTGACGAATACCGGCAGACCAGTGACTACCGTGTAGTGAATGCTGAGACAGAAGCTGCGGCGGGTGTGATGCCGATTCTTCGTGTCAATACGGAGCACGTACGTGGAATGGCTCATTTCGGTTTGTTTGACTTTCTAAAAGGTTTCTGGCAGCTCCCTTTGGCAAAAGAGTCTCAGGAATTTCTTTCGTACATGACGGATAGTATACACCTACCCGAGTGCCACAAGGATGTAGTGATGCTGTCATCCATTTTCAGCGAACGATGGAGACGTGTTTCAAAGACTTACTGTACAAGCACCTACTAGTTTGGGTAGATGACCTCCTACTGTATGGTAGCAATATTGACGAGTACCTGGAGAAGCTTCAAAACCTTTTTTCTTTGGTAAACGACTTCGGTTTGAAACTGAGTGTGAAAAAGTCGAGTCTATATCAGAGAAGCGTGAAGTGGTGTGGGAAAATTATAGATGGCGCTGGAATAAAGCATGACCCCGAGTGCATACGATCACTACGGGAAATGCCGTACCCGCAGACTGCTGCAGACCTACAGCAGTTCTTGTGTGCAGCGAATTGGCTGCAAGAAAGTATTGTGGGCTACGCAGTAGCTGTGAAGCATCTTCAGGAGTGTTTTGACGCTGCACTCCGAAACAAAAAGAAGTCGAAGCGAGCTGCCGCAGCGGTATCTAGAGTGTTTACTGATAGACTTCGAGTAGTTTTCGACAAAGTCCGTGAGTTGCTAGCTACATCTGCTACTCTGCACCACCCCAGTGCCGATGGAGACATGGTGCTAGTCACGGATGCCTCTGACCAGGGTTGGAGCATTTTAGTGACTGAAGTTGAGAGCTGGGACTCTACAAAGGACGTTAGCGAGCAGTCTCACCGACTTTTGACGTGTCTGAGTGGTACATTTACTGGAGCTCAAGTGAATTGGAGTGTAATTGAAAAGGAAGCGTTCCCTCTAGTCACTGCCTGCGAAAAGCTATCGTATTTATTGATGAGACCGTGAGGATTTCGGATGTTCTGCGATCACAGGAATTTGATACATGTATTTGCGCCTGCGGAGAATATCAAGAAGCATATTCGTGGTAAATTACTTAGCTGGGCACTGAAGTTAAGTGAATTTCGGTACACTATCAATCATATCGCCGGGACTGCTAACGTGTGGGCTGATGTACTGAGCCGGTGGGCTTGTCAGCCAGCAGAACTAGTTCGCGTGCGCCGAGTGGTTACCCGCCGGGCCCAACAGCAGGAGCAAGTCACGCTCCGCCCTCTGGACGACGAAACCTTTGTATGGCCGACACTTGACGCAGTGTCGCGGGCTCAGAAGCGACACGCACCGCGGCCACTACCATCATGGCTGGTAGAACGGACTGATGGACTGCTAGTAAAAGGAAACTTAGTGTGGATACCAACCGAAGAGCATGCATTGCTGCGTCGGCTGATGATTATCTCGCATTGTGGGCCTCAAGGCCATCGTGGCCGGCATGCAATGATGGCCCAGTTGGCCAGCGTGTTCTCGATTGAACGGCTCCGTGTGCACGTAGAGCGCTTCCTGGCGAAGTGTCTGTTGTGTATGCACATTAAAGGAGGGAAAATCATTCCGAGACCATGGGGAGAAACGTTTCGTAGCCAGACGCGGAATGAAGCGCTACATTTTGACTTTTTATTTCTGGGTGAATCATTTGGAGACAACCAGTACCTGCTGGCACTGAAGGACGATGCTAGTCATTTTTGTGAATTAGTAGTCTGTGAGTCACCGACCAGTGCCGTGGTCGCTGAGGCTATTCTACAGTGGCATTCTCGTTTTGGGGAGCTGCAACTGTGGATTAGTGACCAAGGCACCCATTTCAAATGTGAAGTGGTTGACACCCTGAGGAGTAAGTTACACACTCTCACATGCGCTTCCCACGCCGCTCACGCCTCTCTTCCGTACTTCAAAAGTGCGATCACGAATTTTCGGTGGCATATTGTCCGTGGATAAATGGATCTATTGAGCGGTTAAATAGGGATATTCTACAAGTTTTTCGAGTTATGATTTTGGAGTACAAGCTGGATCATCGTGACTGGGAGTCACTGGTCTCTGTAGTACAGTCTAGCTTGAACCACATACCTCTACCCTCGCTAGCCTACAAGTCACCACTGGAACTGTTTACGGGGCTGCCACCGCCGTCACCTATTGGCCACGCTTTCGTACGCAAACAAGGCCAAGGTGAGATCATTGAAGCTGGGAACTCTGACAAAATTGAGCGTTCGCTGGCCCAGCTACGTGCTAGTATTCGCAATATGCACAGATATGTCAGTAATGCGAGGGAGAAGCAAACGTTATTGAACAAGAAGAGAGAACGTGGAAAAAACTTAGTGAATTTTTCGGTTGGAGATTTTGTGCTACGTTCTCGAGTGGATGAGAAACACGTGAACAAACTTCTAGTTACTTGGGTAGGGCCGTACGTGGTGACGGAGGCTCACTCGAGACATTTTGTGGTTAGAGACTTAGTGACCGACAAGTCACGTGACGTGCACGCGTCATGGCTATAGTTCTTTGCCGATAGTGACCTAGAAGTAACTGGAGAATTGCTACACCATGTGACAAGCCAAGGTGTTGTGCTCGATGTGGACACGATTAAGCAGCACCGTTGGAATATACAACGAAAGGACTACGAACTTTACGTTAGCTGGCGTGGTCTCGAGGATATCGAGGATTCCTGGGAGCCATTTGCTGCTATGGCACGAGATGTGAGAGTTCTAGTGGATACCTATGTTACAGCTGCGGAGGATACGCAGCTTGCTGAACATTGGACTCGCCTCAGCCGGCCTCAAATAAGCGGCAGTTAGTGTACGGTCAGGTCCTGACTGTGCACTATTTCCAAGTGGTCATGATGTACTGTATGGATATAATTGCACGATTCTAACAGAGCCAAGTTGCACCAAGTCAAGTTGAAGTCCCATGTGACGGGACATTTCGATTGGTGAAATTTTGATTAGCGAATATTTCGAGTAATTTCTACTGTGACATTTTGCTCTCAAGAAGTTTTGGATTGTGGACGAGGGGACACACTTCCAGAAGAGAGACGTTGGCGAGTGTCGACGAACCACAGGATGGAGCTAAGCTCACGAGGCTGAATGAGGCTTTAAGAGAGGGGACTGTAGTGGGTTAAGAGGTTGAAAAGCCTCATACAGCTCGTGCAGTGGGCGGCAAGGCAATCTCCAGATCGGCAGTGGCAGGGTTGCCACTGCCAACCTGCGAGTGAATGGCTGGTTGAGAGGCTTGCTGGCCCGAGCTGGCAGATAGCGTAGTAGAATAGAGAGTAACAGTTTGTGTTTTGCTTAATACACCAGGCAAAGACGTGAAGGGAGTGCCAGCTCCCCCATTTTGGTGTTCATTTGCGAGACCCACCACAGCTAGAATCCCTATATCCGTCACTGGTAAACTCAGCAATAGCGAGCAGTAGAAGTTTATTTCTTACGAGCTTCAAATATGCAATCTATAAGTCCGATTACTGATTCTAAAAAACGCAGTAAAATGCTGGATTAAGCTTATATCAAAAGGCATCGATGCCAAGTTCTCATATTTATGGATTGCAACAGCTGCAAGTGCCCCGCAGAAAACCATGGTGCTTGGATACACGAGTTTTGCTGACTTGTTGGCCAAGCCAGTTCACGAAGGTTCAACCTTTCAAATTATATAGTACGGTAAACTGGTTTACGGTCCCGGTAATCGCGTTTTTTTCTCTTCAATCCGCCCGTAAACAGGTAACACAGAATGAGTAATGCGAGCCAAAATGATATCAACGGAGATTTTTCCTCTTTCCAACGTCGGCCGGCAAAGTCCTCTTAACCTGAAAGTATTTCATAAAAATTATTTTAAACAAATATTTAACAAAATAGTTATTTTTTTGGATGATAAAGAAAAAAATCCCATAACACCGTCAGCGTTTTTACTGTACATTTAGGGAAACGTAGTACTTCCTATTATGAGACTGCGTCAAACAAAATGATATTATAAAATAAGCGGGCTAACTGTTGAACCGTGTCCGAAAATACATGTATAAGCGGCTCCCTTACAAATTCCTGTCATTAAAAATACCGTTGTATTTCGGCTACGTACGCTTTTACAATTGCTGCTGTACCACTCTTAGTAAGAGTCTTACCGCTGTATATGGATAACTTGCTGGAAGTACAGTTTTGATCTCAATAATAGCTGGTAAAACTTTGGGATCAGTACATGTAACACGTGCCCTTGTTTTACAACAGCACGACCTCCGTTCATTTTTCTTATACCCAAGACAGTTAGTGAAATACCGTGTTATTAATAGGGTGAGCGTAAAGTTTGTTACCGCCTCCTCACATGTAAGCTTCTGAGGTAACAACAACTCACAAGTAGAACTGGATCAAGCATAACAAGCACCTCACGTGGCCCGCCGATCCAAGACGTCAATGCACTCGTGCTGGCTCTGCGTGTGCTTGTGCTGCAATATCCTTTACTGCGGCACTAGCAGGTATAAAATTCTAAGCTTTTGCAGATCTAAAATTGCTTCTTGAATAACGGAAAGAGTTTGAAAACGTCTTAAAAAGATTAGCCCTTTTAAACCAAGCCCGTTTTTTATATAATCACATTCGAGTTGTCATTTGCGTCGAAGTGACCTTCACTCCGTGACTCGCTTGCAGTGCTCAGATATGACCTTCACTATTGTACAGCTTCAACGAAGCAAAGTTTCGTCATTGTGAAGCCACAGTACACTTTACCAAGGCATTATCTATGGAGTCGAAACAGCAAGACCAAGCTGCGTCCTTCACGCTCGTCAAGGCCAACGACCAAGCAGCCCGCTTAATAGGGCAGAAGCATTGCGAGCCGCAGCCCGAGACACATTTCCAAGCAGTCGATGGCCTTCATGCTCTGCTGAATAATATCATTAATAAAAAGTTAGATCATTAACGATGTTGTCCATCTTCGCTTCCTTCCTCTTCGTATTACCGCGGCAGGTTTTTAAATACATTGATGATCGCAGCCTTGTAGCTACACACACAGGTAGAAAAGTCCAACTAGCTTCGTGCTTGGTAGTCTAGGAGTATTTATTAAGACTACTGCGATCTACTCCGTCCGGGCCAAAGTGCTCTGTGCTCAGGCCAAAACGTTCCGAGCGGTAGTTTGTGTAGGTCAGGAACTGGTTCGACAGTTTAAACTCAAACGTCGACGTGATGCTCGACGGCGTGAAGCCGAGATCTGCATAAATATCTTTGCGAAGCATGCGCGCTGTTCAAGTCACAAGCCACGCCCTCTCCTCAATAGCCTTTAAACAAAGAGGCTCACTTTGTTAGAAACAGCCTGCTTATGACGAAGCCTTCATCTAACTCTACCGGGTAACGGCTACTTCAATCTACTGATCGTCCTCATCGTCAGGCTCCTCGCAAGGACCAAATCGCTCCGACTCGTAGTTGGTGTATGTGAGGAGATGATTGGACAATTTCGACTCAAAGCTCGGGTAAAATCCCGTGGGGGTGAATCCCAGGTCCGCTTTCATCTCCTTCCGCAAAAGTTGAGCTGTGCATTCAAAAACAAAAAGCAGTCGACAGTGAGCACTTCCTCCTCCAGCACACTATTAAAATTGTCATAAGTCCCGTACAGTTGATGAATGTAGACGGGTTGACGACGCGATCTTTCTTGCCGGGTACGGCTTCAACGTCCTTGGATAGCCATCGCATCGTATCGGAGAACTTCTCCAAGCAGTCAGGGCTCTGTAGAAACATCAGCACAATACAACTGAGTCCTCGAACTTCCTTTATATCAATAAGCTCAAGCACCCAACCAGATGCGGGGGTTCCATCAATACGAAGTCGAAAAAGTGGTGGAATTTCTCGGGTAGATCCGTAGGCGCGTTGTAGTCATAGAAACAAAAGTGATCTCCGTACTTTTCACCGAACCGACGGTCGTACTCGAAGATGTAGACGTTGTCACCCATGACGGCGCGCTTGGCCTCGTCCTCCTCCTCGCTCTGAATTTTAAGAAAATCGCGGTAGGCCGCGGGTGTGCTTACGAAGGCAATCTTGAGTTCGTTGCTACTGTGATCGATGGCTTCCTGTGCCAACGCGCGGCCGGTCTTTTCGTCGTACCAGCTATTATACAGCCATGGATGCGCCAAGTGATTGTTAGCATTGGAAATATGTCAATATGGCATTCGTTGATCACTTGAAAGCCACGTACAATTGCGAGAGACGGAAATCCTCCGATACGGGGGCATCCTCTTCGTGGTGACGCCCAAGGAGATGCGCCTGTAGCGCGGCCAGCGTCTCGGCGGACAGCTCACTTTCCAGCAATGCGTCCATGGTGTGCGTGAATTGCTGACTGGTTGTTCCACCACATCACGTTTTACGAGCATTTTTACCGGGAAAAACCAGACTATCCATGTAAAAATGCTCGTAAAAAATAGGACAGCTATTAAAATTTGGTAGCTGAAGCGTTGTGGCTTGTCATCCCATTTTTAAACAAAAAAGTACTCTTTTTAACTGATTTCGTCTAAATGGACCATCAAATATTTTTTTAACCTTAATTTATAAATGGTCAGTAGCAATTTCTCACCTCTTTCTAAAAAAGTAAGCTCTTGTGTACTCGAATAATTGGTTGGAACGTACTGTTAACCAGTCTAAACATTTCGATGGACGCCCTACTTTCAAGCGAGCTGTCGGCCGACACTTTGGCGGCGCTGCAGGCGCATCTCCAGACACAGCAGGCACAGCAGGACGCGGCTGTGTCTGAAGACTTTCGTCTCTCACAGTTGTACGTATGCCAGACATGGCGTTCTACCTTACTCTACCCTTATCTTGCGCTGACAACGTAATGACAGCTGGTATGACGACCGCACTGGCCGCGCACTGGCCCAGGAGGCCATTGACCAGAGCAAGGAGAAGTGCATCGCCTTCGTGAGTACCCCAGCAGCCTATCGCGACTTTCTCAAGATCCAGGAGGAGAGCGACTCGCCCATCAACGGCGACAATGTATTCTTGTTCGAGTACGATCGTCGCTTCGACGAAAAGTATAGCGGCCACTTTGTGTTCTACGACTACAACGAGCCCACGAACCTACCGAACAAGTTCCATCACTTTTTCGACTACGTGCTTGTAGATCCGCCCTACCTGGTGAGCTGTGCTGCTATTAAGTAAGTGGTGTCAATAGGTACACATTGGCTCACTCATGTGGCTGACACGTAGAACACCAACTGCATGAGCAAATTTGCTGAGACCATGCGCTGGCTGGCGAGGGACGTAGAGTGCGCCCCAGGCATGAAGGGCAAGATTTTGAGTCCCTGCACCTTCATCACTGGTAGGGCAGAAGCCTCTTTGTTAAAAGGCTATTGAGGAGAGGAGAGGCTCTAACGTGGCTTGTGGCTTGAACAGCGCGCATGCTTCGCAAAGATATTTATGCAGACCTCGGCTTCACGCCGTCGAGCTTTACGCCGACGTTTGAGTCCAAACTGTCGAACCAGTTCCTGACCTACACAAACTACCGCTCGGAACGTTTTGGCCCAAGCACAGAGGACTTTGGCCCGGACGACGAGTAGATTTAGTGGCAGTAGTCCTAATAAAGACTTCCAGACTACCAAGCAAGAAGCTATTAATAGCTGGACTTTTCTACCTGCGTGTGTAGCTACAAGACTGCCACCATCAATGTAATAAAAAGCCTGCCGGTAATACGAAGAGGAAGAGAGCAAGGATGGACCGCATCCATCTTTTTTATTAATGATACTATTCAGCAGAGCATGAAGGCCATCGATTGCTTGGATATGTATTTCTTCTTCGTTCGCGTTGTTTCTGCTCCATTAAGCGGGCTGCTGGGTCGTTGGCCTTGACGAGCGTGAAGGACGCAGCTTGGTCTTGCTGTTTCGACTCCATAAATGATGCCTTGGTAAAGTGAAGTGTGGCTTGACGCTCGAAAATAATAATGATGAGGTGGACATAGCGTTTAGCAAAGGTGGCTGCTCAATTGCTTCGTTGAAGCTGTACAGAGTGAAGGTCATTTCTAAGCTCTGCGAGTGAGTCACGGAATGAAGGTCAGTTGGGCTGATTAGATGAGGACGTCTGATCACAGAAAAGTTCCATCTCGCCAAATAGAGGATACGATTGGACAAAAGGGAGAATTTAGACTCTTTCCATTAAAACTGTAATTGCGCCCCAGTAAAAACTGTAATAAGGGTACTATTTGAGGGAGGGTCAAAATGAGCTGTGTTGAGTGGTCATTCCATACCTAGAGATCGTCGATGAAAGGTTATCCGTCGGAGGACGAACCGTTTTCGGCCAACCCGTTGTTGCTCACAGCGAATGACACTGACGAGGCCTGCAATTCCTTATCTTAACCCTTTCGTTAACGCCATACACTTCTATATGAAGGGACACCATACAATTTTTAAGTATAAAGCCCTTAAAGGATACTTTAAGTAGCTTTCTACTGCACAAAATGCCAGAGGTTTATGTCCAAATTCTATGTAATTGTAGAGGTTATATACAAAAACGGGACAGAAGAGTACCTCAGGTATTCTTTTGCAACACCATTTTTTCTGGTCAGCAATTGGCTGGTAGCTCACTCAACTGCAATTTTCCGGTTTGTCACTTGCAGAATAATGTCAGTAAGTGAAGTAACGTGGGCTACACGGCCTCTAGAATTATGTGGTCCCCACACACTTCTCTCGCGCTACATCTACTACCCAGCAAAGCAAACACAGCATCTTCCGCCTACACGGCCTCTAGGGTATGCGGCCCCATACACTTCTCGCGCGCTACATCTACTACCCAGCAAAGCAAACACAGGATCATCCGTGGCCTACACGGCCTCTAGGATTATGCGGCCCCCACACACTTCTCGTGCGCTACATCTACTACCCAGCAAAGCAGACACAGGATCTGAACAATCTGAGCAGAATACACTCGCAGATGTCAACAGATGCAAACTTGCACAGTGTGACATCACGTACAAACCCACGGGGAATATCGACGGTACGCAGGTCATGTTCATAAGTGTTATCTAACCTATATGCTCTGTCAGCTAACGATTATGATGCAGCTTTTACGAAAATGTTTATGTGGCTTCGTTGCTCCCGGGTCTCAAGCTGAGAAGACCACAACTCCAGATTTTGCGAAAGCACAACGTGGTCTTAAGCGACAAAGGCTGTCGTATACCGCTAGGGAGTCACAGAGGAGGCGACCTACCGACCTGAAGGTATTTAAAGGCTGCGCGTTTTGCTCAGTGCTAGGCTCGCGTCGAACGGACATTTTGCAAGGTCACCGACATCTGTGTCGCGCACTCGACACTTGTGTCAAGAACAGACTGCCCTGAAGTCTACGTACTTCACGTTGATCCTTTTACACAAGTCACGGACGCTCGAAAAGCTTTTAGTCTAACCAGATAGCCAGATTTGTGGGCAGTGCCTGGCTACTATGCACGATAGTGAACAAAAGCTACGGACTCCGCTGCGTAGCCATATCTAGAACCTCAGCAGTTCTACAATCTCTTTCTCGCCGAAATGCTTGACGTGAAGAAGACTCTTACCTTTTAGTGCCCCAGCTTAATTTTATCCACTCAAATCACGTGTTCGATAAACTCAGCTGCATAGACCAGTGATCTTTCACGAGCCGCACCTGGATTGTAAAGGGATGTTCTTTTCAGTCTAGATTTTGCCGTCTCCTGTAGATATGGCTGATTGTCCAGTATGTTGCTCGAATTTGTTTTTTTTTAAATGCTCTTGCAACTGACTGTGTATGATGTACTCAAATAGCTACCAACCCCAGAGAAGACTCTGGGCTGGAATGGAGGTTGTGGCGTGGATATCAACATGAGGCGTTAGCTGTAAGCTCGTTATGTGAAGCTCTTGGTAATTGATGTATGTTCAACCCAGGCTCTGGAGTACTTCGCTGCCGGCACCCATCAGCCTATCGAATTCGACAACCTATACCCTGTCTCCTATTCGCTTGACCCCCAAGTACGCTATGTGGCTTTGTTATCCAATGATAAAATCTCCGCTGACGAAAGCGGTTTTTGCTCTTAGGAACGCGAGCGCAGTTTTGGCTCATACGCCGGAATTGATGATTTCATTGGGGCCCTCCCTGTGAAACAGATGTACAAAGTTTATGCAGAGCTTTGTGCAGGCAAGCAAGATCACCTTCACGAGTACATTATGATGCTGCGATGGCTGAGATCCTCCATGGAAATTTCGGAGGTATGACTCTGCTTATGCGTGTTTTTGTTAGCTGCTATCAGCGCCTTACTTGTTATCTACACTAGATCACAGTCAAACACCTTCATGATCGTCTAAGTTTCTTGAAGGTCTACCTTGAGTATACCCGGACGAAGCTCGAAGAACACTACAAGTGCTACAAGAAAATGAAAGCGGACGAAGCTGTTGATGACGAGGTAATTTACCTCCACAAGAAGGACGGGTTCCACAAGAAACGTGGCTACAGTATTTTTGTATATCTAAGTATGGCCATGACCGTCGTCAACGTATTGGCGAAGCAAATTGACAAGTATGAATGGCAGCAGTGCCAATGCACCAAGTGCGCGTACTATCGGTCGCCCGAGTGGCGCCAAACGAGACCTGATGACATTACGCCTGCCATGTTACCTCCAATGAGATTTTATCGCCGCGGAAGCAAAGGAGTGAGCCCCTCTGAAAAGATTTACCGCAAACAGCGTGAACAGAAGGTATAAGAATACTTCCGTTTCCAAACGAAAACGAAGCTCTCAAGTTTCAAGTGAAAACATTTTGTTGTGTGAGGATGCTATCAGTTATGTTATTGTGGCACCATGCGTATCCGCAGGACTGTTAACGGAATGGACTTGTACAAAAAGCAAGGGGCTATCTTCGAGTGACTCCGGTGTAACAAACTCGCGACAAGCCTTTTGTAGGTACGAGGGTAGTCGAGGGGGGGGGGTGATTCAATAGCTCATCAGCTGTATCCGAATACGAAATTGACGCACTTCAGAGCCTTCAACCGTGGTTTTGCAGAAAGCGGTGGCTGCACGTGCTCAGAACCTTCAAGACTTCTTACGAGTTGCGGATGTGATAAAGGCGTTCGAGCTCATTGTGTAGCTAAGCTTTAACATCCTTTCGGTGGAATTGGGTATTCAATGATCTGCTCTTTTGCGTCGATGGCGGTGTACGTGCGTCCATTAGCAGCTGTCTAGTCGTGTGTGTGCGTGTGAATGCGAATTCTGACGGTCTTTTATCGCTCGAAAGTGGACACATTTACGTGTACTAAGCGTCTAGCCCATAAGTAGCTTCTCGGTGGCTTACCCTTGCGGGCGTACCACAGTCCCCTCGTTCAGCAGCTTCGCGATGGCCAGATAACGTACGACGTACGTTTGGGCTTTCTAAGGATCGGTATTGAGCGAGCGTATTAATAGTATGGACCTTCTTCCACAGCCAGAATGGCAGATATAATGAGGAGAGCACCACCTCAGCGTGCGACAGAAACCCAGTATCTTGGTTTTGTACGCGATAGACGTGTAGAAGATCTCCGCTTGCTTGGATCACGAACGACGCGGGATAGTATACACGTTCACTGGATTTTCAGTAGCTCGATCCGGTCAAGCCTACTGTCCGTCAATACCATCTGGATCTTCTTCATGGTAGCGCCAGACGAAAATACTCTCGAACGATTTCTCCAGTGCGTCCCAGTGGTGCAGATGTGCTCGATGTAGCAGCGCCTTCATTGATGGTGAATACTACACCACACGATCCCCGTTAATCAGTGACTAGGCGAGAATTGGGTCGAGTTGGGCTGTGTCGATAACGGGGGGGGTGCAGGTTTGCTCACGGGCAGAGTCGATGGATAGAAGCGCCGGTCGGCAAATTTTAAAATGACCGCTTGATAACCATGCTGGCCGGAAAATTGCCGCCACACGCCAGCAAACACTTCACATGTTGAAGCAACAGCTCAACCAATCATAGCTCGTTTGAACACGGCTCCACCAATCGCAAAACAACCTTTTAGATACCAATATCTTATCGGTGGAATGGTCACCCCGAGGGAAAACGCAGCCCCAAACCCTGAACGATTTGGCAACTTCAACGTCGCGCCAAATTTGAATTCATCCTGGTAATTTCTACGTTAATTTTTTAATTTTTACTGATATATTGTTCTCTCGTATATATTATAATTCCTTTCCTTAGAAAGTGCATATTTCAATTCACGTAGACCTTCGCCGACAGCAAGCAGCAATTCTTAAAAGTTGAGTTGAACATGTAGGACTCTCCTGAAATGGATTTCACTCGAAGACCTCTCTGCATGCAAGTACGTGAAAATTTCAATGCTTCAATACACTCTACCACTGAGTATGAATCCAGTCGTCCAAATCGCTTAAGTACGTATATATTAATAGACAAGTGATCTCCACAATCCCACAACCATCGAATCCTGTCAATGAGAACGTGCAACTGGAAGTACTAAAACCTGAAATATAGCCTTTTATAAAGTTATGACCTACATATAATCTTATACTGTAATGTTATTATAGTTTCACTGATACTGAGAATATTTACTACTATTATTACTCATAGTATTCAGTGTTTCTTTAGTTTCACTTGATACTCAGAGTATCAAGTGAAACTATAATAACAGTTTAAAAGTATACATATAGATAGACCTGGAGATCAAGTTGAGCTCCGGCTGGGTGGGGTGCGCCGGCCACGCCGACCGCTCGTGCTACGACCTGTCGGTTAACGCCAAGAAGAGTAAGGTCAAGATGGTGGGCACGCACAAGTTCGACGATCCCGAGAAGCGCCTGATCGTGGAGATCAAGCCGAATAAGGGCAAGATTGGCCGAACGTTCAAGGCCGATGTGGCCGCGATCCTCGAGGCGCTAGAGGCTTTGAAGGATGATGTGCCACGCGCCCAGGCTTTCGAGGACGAGCTGACCTCCAAGAGCGAGGCCACGCTGGGCCCGCTGTGCGACGGCTGCAGCGCGACATGGTGGCCACTAAGTTGGTGGAGAAGATGGTGAGCGAGGAAAAGTTCGTTCCCTCGGTGATCGAGCCCTCGTTCGGCATTTCCCTTGCCGCTTTTGAACAAAATTTCGATTCTCGCGAGGGTGACGAGAAGCGCGGCGTCATGTCGTCACCCTTGATCGCCCCCGTCAAGGTGTCGGTGCTGCGTCTGAGCAACATCCCGGACTTTGAGCCATTCGCGACGGACCTGGAGAGCGTCTTCGTGGAGGAACGCCTGGAGTGCAAGGTGGGCACGTCAAGTGTCGCCATTGGCCGCAAGTACGCACGCGCGGACGAGCAATATTTCAGCGCAGGCTGACATTTGGGGACATTTGTCAGATGCAACGAGGCAATTATCATCAAGTTAGCGAACGAAGGCTGGTACTACGTGGACACTAACGTCAAAAAATGTAGTAGCGATTCAACCTCAAACAGACGGAAGTCAACAGCAAATTATTTGTCTGCAGTGAAAAACTTGTCACTCATCTGGTGATTTCACTAACTTAGTGTTTGTTGACATGCATGTTCGACATGAAAAGGTCTGAGCCCTTTCTAGAAATAAAACGTCTTACGAACGTTGGTTGGTTCGACGAGCTGCTCGCTCATTGCGACGCCTGTCGTTGCTTGTTCGACGATAATCCTGGCGAACCCATGTGTATGGAATTGCTGTCGGATTCCAAGCGACATCCACAACCTGCGTATCATACTCATCGTAGTAGGGCTCCCCTACTTGACCTTCGTATTCACCCTCTGAAAGCTCAATACCAGCGTTGTCATCACTCTCAGCGCTCTGGTCATCGTTATCACTCGTCGCCATATCCTCGTCGGTCTGATCCGACGAGGGGCTTCGTACATCGAGATCCACAGCGCATGAAACTGCGGCGTTAGACGCGTGAGTAGCATCAGTAGCAATAGAAGAAGGACCAGGCAAAGCTCGGGCACTAGCGCCACCAAGAAAACTAGCGCCATGGCCATCACTATGGCTACGAGGAGCGGCGCCATCACTACCTCTGTCACGACCTGCAGCATCACCACCATTACCCGTGACCGCTTGATCGTGAGGAGCAATAGCGTTTCGGCGATGCGCTGCAGCAGTAGTAGCTTGGTCATCTCGTACATAAAGAGCAGCAGACATGCAACCATGGCCAACAGGAGATCGACTGTGAGCAGTACCACCACCAGCAATTCGATCGTGGATAGTAGACGCAGTAGCGATTCGATCGCGACCTGCATGGGGTTGGTCAAGGGTAGCTGCTGTAGATGCGACATGGTTGCGGTGAGAAACATCTCGGATGTACGTAGCATTAGGAATGCGACCTTGGCCTGTAGAAATAGTAGCACTTTGGCCGCGGGTAGTAGAAACAGCAGCAGCCCAGTAGGACACAGTATTGACTAAAACGTGCGGTGCGGCGCCTGCAATTTGGTCGCTATGACCAGCGTCTCGACGGTTAAAAGCAGCAATTCGGCCGTTACCGGTGATCTCTCGGCGTTGATCTGTGGTACGCGCCATTTGGCCATGGTCGGTGGCATCTTGGTTGTTAACTGTCGTAGCAACTTTCCGGTCGCTACCAGCGGTATGTCGACCGTGAGCAGCAACAACCCGGCCAACATTAGCGTCGTCTTGGCGGTGGTCTGCATCATTAGCGATTCGGTCACGGTCACCAGCTTCTCGGCGCTGATCTTCAGCAGCGGTATTATGGTCCAAGTTCGCGACACATCGACCGTTCGTCGTAGCAGCTTGGTAAGCACCAGCAGGAAACTGGTAGTCTGGATGGTCATGCCGGTAGTCAGGGAGCACTAACTGAGCTGCACATACCTCACGTTTATCGATATAGCCTTCGTGGGACGCGAATAATGCACGAAGACTTTGTTGTACATCGCATTCGGGTACGTTTCGCTCCAGCAGACGTTTACGGAGCAGCTTTCTTCCAGAACCGGTGATTCGCGTGGTGGGTCTTTTAGCACGCTCGCATAGGGCCAAGAAATCTTTAAAATTATACACCCCACGACTCGGCTTTTGAGGATTCATCAGACAAAGACGAAATCGAATATGCTTTAGCTCTCACACTTACCACCTTCCTATGTTCTTTCTCACATCTCAATCTTACGTTTCCCATTTTTTTTTCTTTTTGGCAGGCATGGGACAACCGCAATTTTGATAGGCATTCTCTCCCCCGACACGAGCCCATCCGGTGGTGGTGACACAAGCCTATCCGGTGGTGGCGACACAAGCCTATCCGGTGGTGGCGACACAAGCCCATCCGGTGGTAGCGACACGGTGGTGGCGATACGAGCCCATCCGGTGGTCACGACACAGAAAACAATTCCTGAGACTTACCCAAATCGGGGAAGCGAAGAAAATAATGCGCATTTTAGTGTGCTGGGCAATGCTGAGGGCATCTGATCCTGCGATATGAAGTTGTTCATGGTTGACGGGTGCACGGACATTGAATGGTTGATGGCGGGGCACTAACTATGCTGTATTTACTAATTTTTCGTTTTGCTACGCTTTTGTGAATGTGTGCGGAGGAACGAGTAAGGCTTACCGGCATTCGGGAAGTACGTCCTGAAAAACATTTAACGATATGCACCTACATATATTTCATTTTCGTGGTGTATACGGGCCATTATGGATCTCCTGATGCTGAGCATTGAAGATTTCCAGCTCAGTTGAGCCGCTGTGTGTGAGAGTGTGCCGTCATAAGTGTGAAGGCATGCCATCTGAGTTTGAGCTACCAGATTTTCCCAACGGTGAAGTTGGCATTAGCCTACGCTGAGCAACTACATGTATAACTGAAACACATTTCAATAGATACGGACTTGGGTAGAAACGATTGCTACTAAACGTGCAGTGACGATAACCAAATCTCGTGGTAACTTCAGTACATTCGTGCACTGCTTACTCGCCTCTTTTGACGAAAATATAAATCGGCACCTCACTTGATGTCCAACTCACATTCACGTGTACACAAGTGCGTAGTTTCCAACGACGGTAGAAGTGTTTCGTGCAGATAGAATTGTGTCTTGGACAAACCGCACTGGTGAGCGCAGCAACTCTGGCATCAGGCATACATGCGAGCTGATCGGCGATGTGATTTGTGGCTGAAGGATCAAAGCGCAAGTTGTTTGCGAGCACGATTGTGGCGCTTGTGAACGGAGACTTAGTTGACAGATCGATCTTTTTCACATCTTGCGCGTAAATATCGGCATTTTGCAGTCTTGGCCAGCTCACTACGTGTTCACTCAATATCCCATTGCAACGACCTACTAGATCACGACGTATTTCAATCCCAATGCTCGATCGAACAGCAGTTGAAAGCACAAATTGAACTACGATATTCCCGACGCCAGAGCCTATATCCAGAAATACATCCCAAGCCCCAATCGCACCAATCTGGTGTATTGAGGCAATCATCGACGACACCCCACTCGGTAGTATCTCCCCAGCATTTAGATGAGCTGCACCGGGTGGGTACACGACCTCGCTCCGAGATATATTCTTAAACATCGTAATTAAAACTTGATGCACATCACGTGGTACATTGTTGTCATGGAGTAATGAGCGAGTGTCATATTGCTTCGCCGAAACAAAAAGCTTGGCTACCACTGCAGCGAAAGGCTCTGGAGCTTCCAACATAGTTCCATCCATTGGCAACGGAGTGTTTTCTGCTAACGTCTGGCCAAAATCGGTCGTCGCTGGACCAGAATCCTCTACAGTTGACGTCCGCGTGGCTTCCGATAACTAAGACACAAATTCCATGTCGTTTGGGTGAGATGATACTCTGCCTCGCTGTTGTTTGAAAGACTTTCCATGCCCTTGCTGGCTAGGTCCCTGCGCTGTCGATTTGGCTGATCCGGCGCTACCATGGGGCTGACGGATGCGCAGTATTTGAGCACTTCTGCGACCTCGGGAGGCGCGGACAGGAGTGTAAAAACAGCGTGGAAATTTTGACAGCTCCGATCCGAAGGTGCGTTTAAGCGAGCTCAATCTCTGGGCGAGTTCCTTGGGTGAACGCCTCCAACGTTTCATCTTCGCAGCGACATCCTTCCACGCAATACGCACTACTCCCTGGTCAACATATTGGCGAACAATTTGCACCAGCTCCTTGTCTTCCTCCTCGAGAAAGGTAGTGCTCGGCATTATTCAGGGTCCGTGGGTCAGGGAAGATCCAACCACAGCACAACTATGACATTCAGTATGGAATTTGGGGGGCCTGCACACATGTTGATTTGGGCATGCAAATTCATGGAGACTAATCATGGCTGAATTGAACTTGTGATTTTTACAGATGTATCTTCTCAACTTTGAAAAAAAAAAGTTTTGTATTCTTATTTGTATAGGTGTAAATAAAGTTATGACTGACTTAATGCAGGAATTGTAGTTCTCGGGTTGAATGGCATGGTGTCTACTTGTTATTATCTAAGAGAAATGGGTGGTGTAAGTTTAGATAGCGTGACCGGCATTACAGTTGTAAAATTGCTTCTAGAGTTCATTCGCGCTGCACTGAAAGCCTATTTGCTCGCTAAATTATGTCAGGATTTACGATTTAAGAGTTATTATAATTCTTGGGTTCCGAATCAAGTGTTTGTACCACCCAACATTAAAGTTGGCGCGAAGTTGAAGTGAGTAGATTAAGTTTTTTTTTACTTTCTGTCCGCATCGCCAATTCCACGAATTAGATACCTTCACTTTACGTGGGATGTGCTGTGATTGGTGGAGCTGTGGATACAAGGGATGTGATTGGCGGAACCACGGTCAAAAGAGATGTGATTGGCGGAGCCGTTGTTCAATACAAGAGCGATCTCACTGGCGACTGCAAAAGTTCCCGCCCCAGCGAGTAGCAAGCAATGACCCATTTCCAAATTATCCGAGAGCCACACAAGTCTCTCCAGAGCCCTAGCCGACTTGGGCAACTCGCTCGCCACGCCTGCTATCGCTGCTTCATTTTGCCTGTGCCATTCCCATGCAACACACCGAGGCAGTATCGACAAGATGCTGATCAACTTTGCCGACCAGTGTGCTACTCGTCGCCAATGAAGAGCTGCTGAAACACGTATTCCCGATTGGATCTATGATGCTTGGGTGGCGTTGTGCTCGTCCAAGGTCGGGTTGCGAAATACCAGTACGATGTTGGCTCACAACGTTCGTTGTGGCGTTGCTAAATCGTCCGGACAATGCTCACTATTAAGAAGGTCCGTCACGACCTAAACTGCATCATCTCCTTGTGAACACTACCGAGGAGCATTCGGCAGTGTATTTGTTCGAGAAC